TATGTTTTATATCAACAGTCAGGGTGGCACTGGGGCCATGGATCTATGTCACAGAGCCATACTAATCTGGAAAGCAGCATTAAGCCTCAGTGCATCCCTTCAGGCCATTCACATACCTGACAGGTTAAATGTGGAGGCAGACAAATTGAGCAGAGCAGGAAGTCTCTCTCATGAAAGGTCTCTGACAGCACCCAGGTATCTGGAGCTGATTTTTGCTCAGTAGGGCAACCTGGGGGTTGATCTATTTGCCATTCGGGACAATGCAAAAGCAACAAAGTTCTGTTCTCATGCTGGGAGGGGCCCAGGCTCATTAGGGGGTGCCTTCCAGAGATCCTGGATCGGGGAGCCCCTTTACACATTCCCTCCCTTTCCCTTACTGGTCAGAGTTTTAGAGAAAGCCAGGAAGGAGAGATCAGAGATGATTCTCATAGCACCCTTTTGGCCTCATCAGATTTTGTTCCAGAGCCTTATGGAACTTTTCCGGGGACAGTGTATTGTTCTGCCCAAACAGAGTGATTTGATCAGAAGTACTCCATCATGACTTGGAACATCTCAAGCTGACAGCATGGAAACTTGGGACAGAGATTTAATTTTCTTTGAGGAAATTAATGAGGTTCTTTTAAACTCTAGAAAACCTAGTACTTAGAAGGTCTTATTTACACAAGTGGAGACAATTGAGAAAAAAAGCAGTGTTGGATCGGGCCAATGGCCCATCCAATCCAACACTCTGTCACACAGTGGCCAAAAATACCAGGTGCCATCAGGAGGTCCATCAGGGGGTCCAGGACACTAGAAGCTCTCCCACTGTTGCCACACACCCCAAGCACCAAGAATACAGAGCATCACTTGCCCCAGAGTTCCTATCTATACCTTGTGGCTAATAGCCACTGATGGATCTCTGCTCCATATCTATATATCTAATAGCGAAGGTGCCCCCTGCATGCAGATCTAAACCTGCACATCGGGGGCACCTGGGGGGCAGGGAGATTTTCCTGCACACTTGGGGCAGTCCCCAGGTGTGCACAAAAATCTAAAAAGTTGAAAAAAGGGGCGATATTTAAATCCCCCCAAAGTAAAAGAGCCTTCCCTGCACATGCACAGGGAATGCTCTGGGAACTGCAGCGAGCTGGTGGTTGGAAGCCGCTCAGGCCTCGCCGCAGGAGCAGGGGGTGGGAGGAGGAGATCAGCAGCAGCGGCGGAGGAGGAGACCGCTGGAGCTGGGGGGAAGGGAAAGAAGAAGATTGGCGAGGCCCGGCGGCTGCAAGCCGCTCAGGCCTCACCGCTGGGGGTGGGGGAGGAGATGGGAGAGATTGGCGAGGCCCGGCGGCTCCAAGCCGCTCGCCCCTCGTCACCGGTGTTGGGGGGGAGGAGACGGGGGG